AAATATTGTCTCATTTGTACTAAGAGGAAAAGCCAGCCTAAACAGAGTAAACTCTTAACAGAGAATTACAGGTTCTTCTTTTTAGGGAATACCCGTGGGTATTACTGATCATCTTCCAGAAATTGAATGAGATAGTCAGTATGAGCTGGTCATTATTAATTACTTCACTAAGTGGGCTGGGGCTTATTCATCAGAAAATGCTTCAGAACAGTCTGTACCAATGTTGTGGTGGAACACTGGATAGCCCAATTTGGGTCTAGAAGTATTTCACACAGATCAGGAAGCTACCTTCAATAGCCAACTATTTTTTACCTTATGTAAAGTGTTGGTTGTGGTAAATATGTGCACTTTGTCTTATCACCCACAGTCTGATGGTTCAGCAGATAGGTTAATATAAACTATCAAGCATATGCACGTGAAGTTTAAGAATCGCGAATGAGAGAAACACTTGCTATATGTCATGAAGGTATATCATACTACAGAACAGAGGTTGACTGGTTGTTCACCAAACATGTCCTGTGGATACGATGTATAATCCACCCCTATGGAAAATGTATCACAGGTCTGCAAATACATTTGAAGTGGGTAAGGTTTATGTTCTTTGATGTTCACGAGCTGTGAACCAACATCTAGGAAAGTCTGTTCATATGGCTGAAGAGATGTTACAATATGACAGTTAAAGGACAGATATTCCAGCAAGGAGATTGAATATGGCTTTTGTATATGCCAGTGGCATGGAAGCAACTTGATTGTAGCTGGACAGGTTCTTATTTCGTCCTTGGTTATATAAATCTGATTACATATGAGTTACAGTGGTTGTAAGGAGCAAGTAAATTCATTAAATACGTTGGCAAGCTAGGACTGCATGTTGCTGATGAACTTTTCATGCACTGTCTAAACCAAACATCAGAGGTCGAGACTGATGATTCGGAGGATGATGAGAGTACTATTTCGTATCATCTCGACTCATATGATGAGGAGAAAGATGCTAAAGTACTTAGAGATGAGTGAGATGAGAAATTTCATGGAGAATAACCACAAGATAACTCTAATGGGTGGCTAAGACACTGGCAATGATATTTTTGATAATTAGTGCTAAGATTAGCAGTGATGCCAGCAGATAGGATAGTCACTGATTGTAAGATCACTGATTGAAAAGAAGTGGTATTGCTCGCATTATGAGCTATCAAGTGGTGTTCACAATGAAATCTATGTACTACACTGTGTAACTGCCGACTGATTATAGAGCATCATATGTGTAGACACCTCTACCAACACCATTATATCCCCAAATCAAAAAAGGAATTAAATTTCAAATCGAAAACATCAAAGCCACAGGAAAATCAAGATCCATCAGTCCTGGTAAGTACATTTTGACCTCCAAACCCATGTTGTCCACAGCAACATCCTTGAAAAACATCAGTGTGTGGGCTTGAACATCTTTAGCTGCAGCTCAACCACTATTCAAGAAGTATCACACCTGCTTCAAGCAATCACCAAGACAAAAACCCCAACAGGCATCACCAAACTAACCCCATTATTAAAGCACCACTGCCAGGAGCAGGCTGTTAAGTAGACTGAAGCATGGCTATTATATAACTGAGAAGATGACTAGTTGCAGAAACAGGCAGACTGACTAATTCATCTTGAGAAAGAAGTGAGGCAGTTCTGAGGCTACAATTTCCCTTAAATTTTCGATGGAAATGACCAATAGTGACGTGAATAGTGCACGCCTCCTGTAAGTATAGCGTTATGGTTTCGTGTATATAATATTATATTTTCTCAGTCTGAAACACTTCTATTGTTCTTCACAGATTTCCACCAACCTCCAGCACATATTACTGAGAGTTCTCATATCCCCGGTAATGAAGATGTCCTAAGTGAATACATTCATTTTGATTGTTTTGTGTATCAAAGAAAGACTGTTTCACACTGTCATACACTGTGTTCAGTATCTTTCATTTTTCACAACTCGGTCAAAGCCCAAGAAAATAGTTTAAGTTTACATAACATATTCTGTCGATCTCCTGTTATTCTGCTGAATCTACCCGATTACTCTTCAGCGACGTCATAAGTAAAAGATAATACCTCAATATTTCATACATATATATACATTTATATATATAAAGAAAATAGAAGTAAAATTTCTCAATAAACAAGAAATACTTTCAAATCTAAGTTACTGTCTTTTTCACTGTCAATTTGGTATTGCTTTCTTTCTTCATTTACTGCTTTTTTATCATATATTATTAAATTCATAAAACCTCAGTATAAATTTTGTTTTTCTGATAATCACTAATGGTCGACTAATATTTAAAATTTCCACAAACATTTTTTATCATAACATCAATAGATTCAAAACGTACTTGTTACACCTTAATGCGCTATATGGGATTCTAAGTCTCTAAAAGATGTTCACAAAGTGTGAAAATTTATCAGATCTAGAGAACAAGCAACCTGAGATTACGACAGACACTGAGAAGCGTTTCTACCAATGCTCTGCACAAAACAGACTTCCCATTCGACAATCCCCTGAGCAGGATAAAAAGCGTATTTAGTATTCTAGTATATTTGTGAATGTCGTGCGTTCAGCTCTTCGCATTTCTTTCTCATAAACTAAAAAACGTAGTATTGTTTTATTTTAAAAAATACACATAAACATCAGAGAAGAGAAGAGTTTTCTTAGCTCTGTCGGTTCTCCACCGCATTCTTTCGAAAACTCTTGGTAAACTGGGCTTGAGATAGATGGCTTGGGGGTGGGAGGAGGGGTTAGACCCCACTGAAGAGCTCCGCCTCTGAGATATAATCTTTTAAGATTTTTAAATTCTCTACATCGTGATTCCCACTGAAATGGAAGTGATCTTTTTTTCTGCCTCCTTATAATCCACCAGTAAAAAATCCTGGAAACGCTACTGTTTCTTGGTTCATGAAGATAGTCAGTGAACTGTTATCACTTTGCTCTGCTCACAGCAAGAATAAAGCAACGGACGACACAGGAACATTTATACGGAAATGCTGCAAAGGTTCCTCTCTTCATTCTACACTGTAAACCTATTCTAAATGTTATACATGTTAGCCACTCAGTCGTTTTTTGTTGTTTTTTTAAAAACATGTGAAATAAAACACGTGAAAGAAAAACAACTACGCCATTCTCACATAACTGTTGGAAACCCAAAACATTTTGCTGATATTTCGTCATTTGTCCCATGTACGTGACAACTAGGTTACAAAACTAAATTATATTTGTTACATGACGATATGCACCATTGTTACATCCGGATAAAAAAAAAAACTTGCTTAACAGTAAAGATCAAATTTACCACAGGCATGTACACTCGTTACACACTTAATGCACATAAAGTGCTAAAGCGTGTGGCAACTACATCGGGGAAAAATCTAGTTCTAGTAATTATTTGACTCTCTAGAGGAAGTTGACTGCATGGTAAGCTGTAAGAAGTCCAGGTTAATCGGGAATGCGTTTTTTAATTACTTGTGTGTTTCAACAACTATCACAAATGTATAATTATGAAAGACAAAATGGATGTTCAAATATATAAATTCTTAATTTACTTGTTGTTTCTTCTTTTCTAGAAATACAGCTTCCAGTGAACCAAAAGCTGCTCCCCATGACATATTATTCCAAATGTAGTCTAATAGTTATTAGCTATTAAAAAAAAAATCTATCTATTATATACACGGTTGTTAACTATGTACAGTTTTGTTGTTTTTTAATCTGGCAAGTACAAACGTATTTTATATTGTGATCATTAGAGTTTATTACAATAACTTATTTATACATGACGACACGAACAAATGTCGGTTCTGAACTGGCCGGTTAGTGAATTTACTATATGGGATGTGGCTGAATGGAAGTAATGAAGTTTACTACGTCGGTCAAGTATAAAATCGCAATGAAACCGGGACAGATTTAAAATCAAAGTGTTTCCTCCTTTAAATTAAAATAATAATAATAATTCAAAACTCACTACGGACCCCCCCCCCCCCCGTGGCACAGCGGTATGTCTGCGGACTTACAACGCTAGAAACCGGGTTTCGATACTCGTGGTGGGCAGAGCACAGATAGCCCATTGTGTAGTTTTGTGCATAAATTCAAACAAACACATTACGGATCTCATATCCGGAGAGATCCGGCAGATATTAAGACCTGAAACTGATCAATGTATAGGTTTTGGTGAACAGTAACGTATTTTATATTGTAAATAACATACTTATATAGAACGACATGAACAAATGACTGATTAATTGGCTTAAATAATAATGATGATTACGTTATACTTTTGAATGTCCAAGACGATTCTTTACAACTCTGAGAGGATTTTTCTCTAAAGTCATATTTTACCATAAGGAAAAATATGATCTTATGAAGGACACTGCAAAAATGCCGAAACGTCATGTTGGAAGTTTAATCCTTTTAAAACAGACTGTCCTTCGGAAATACAGATTTTGTATCCTTACAACCAAGCAACGATGCTACTACTAATAATGGAAGAACGGAAATTATACGACGTAAAACGCTAAACTCCGGGGTTCGATTCCCGCAGTGGAAACAGCAGATAGCTCAATGTGGCTTTGCTCTTAAAAAAACAAACAAACTGATAATTATATATATATATATAGAGAGAGAGATACACAAAATATAAATCTTAACCAGAAATTTGTGTTCCATATTAGGTTGCGAAAAAACATTATTATGATATTTTCACGGACTATGTAACACTTAATTTCGGAATACAGCTGGAAATAAATTTGATCTAAATGTCTAATTGTTTCTTATTAAAACGTCTCCAAACTATCCAGTGACGTAGGAATAACTATTTTTGAATCATGTTTATTGCACTCCAGAAGAAAATCAGTTTATGAATAAACAATTGTGATATTAACATCACTGAAATATGTACAAATTGATGTAACCGACAAAGACACGTACAGAAATACATATTTCCATCACAACACAGCGTATATTAATATATATACATTACCAGTGCGGTCAATTTCAACTTCAACACAATTGGTTGGAGACCCCACATCTTTGAAAAGACATTTGTATAACATCCCTGGTTCTATAACACCTGGTCCGAAGGCAGTAGTGCTAGCTTTGGGGGCCGTCACCAATAACCTAGAAAAAATAAAATTTATATCCTTAAATAAAAGAACGTATGGTATAATAATTTATACTTAAAAAAATAAAAGATAAATTTTACTGAACAAAACATTATATATTCATACATACGCACACACACACATATATATACAAACAATAAGTCACCAATTAAAAACGTATTACATTTTGGTTTCTAAAAACATAACTTGAATACTTCTCAGTGCAAGGAATAACTACTATATCTTCTTCAATTATGAATGTTATTTTATTCAATTTATGTAGTATCAAGTTATCCTGACAGTCAGCAAATTAAAATAAACTTTGCGTTAATTTAAAAATATTAGCCTCATTGCGAGTATTAGAAACATGAATAAACTGTGAAAAGTATAATAGATAAAACTTTCAAATATAGATAGATGTGCATCGAATATGATGACTGTAGCACAAAAGTAGAAAAAAAAGAGCAGTATCATTAATATTAATATACATAACACGTTTTTCTAAAGTAATTAACAGGATACTGCGAACAAATTTGCGTACGTTGTATATGTATATATAAATAAGGCCCCTCAGTGGCACAGCGGTATGTCTGCGGACTTACAACGCTAGAAACCGGTTTTCGATATCCGTTGTGGGCAGAGCACAGATAGCCCATTGTGTAGCTTTGTGCATAACTACAAACAAACAAAATATAAATGAGTTATACGCCATTTTCAAAAGTAGTTGGTCACATAGGTGAAGGATATCGAGTAATGTTTTTTTTTATTCTTGGAGGGTGGGGGCAGTCCTTACCTTTAAAATAACAAAAATACTTGAAAATCCACATGCTTTTGAATAGTACAAACTTTTATTTTTGAGATTGTAGGTAAATTAAACAGTTCTTTTTCCACAACAAAAGAAACTTACACAACGAGATTGAATCGGACTAGTTTTCAGTTTCATCACTTATTCTTTAAACATTTATTTTTCATAATTTTTTGGGGCATGGTGCTTAGGGCGCTCATTGGGTCGCGGTTTCAAATCCCGCCACCAAACATACTCGCCCTTTCAGCCGTAGGGGCGTTATATTGTGACGGTCAATCCGACTTTTCGGTCCCTCGGTGGGTCAGTGGTAAGTCCACGAGCTTACAACGCTTAAATTCGGGGTTCGATTCCCGCGGTGGAAACAGTCGGTAGCTATATGTGGCTTTGTTCTAAAACACACCAATTTTGCGTTCCTGAAAGAGTAGCTCAAGAATTGACGGTGAATGGTGTTATCTAGATGCCTTCCCACTAGTCTATCACTTCTAACTTAGGGACGGATATCCACTAAGTAGTTTTGCGCTAATTTCAACAAACATCAATTGCAAGTTACTGAGTCTCTTCTTGTTATCTACCCTTTAAAAACACATCATAAAATGCCACTAATTACTTTTCATTTGACTTTTGTCAATTCCTTTCAATATCTTTTAAATGCTTCTTGAAAATCTGACGTTAGAGATCACTATACACAAACAATAGCGATCACAACCTCCTACCTAAATGTTTTCAATGTGTATAATATAAATACATTTATATAGCAGTCTATGTAAACATTTCACCAGTAAAACACCAAATCCTGAAAATCGCACAGAATATATTTGCTTTAATGTTAAGTACAATTGTAATACTTACATTTTACCGTCGCTATTTTGATGAAAAGCTACAGAATATCCGAAATAGCTACTTTGCCAATCTCTTCCTGAGCTCTTATAAACAAGTGGGAAGTTGATGTCTATGTTAAAACCAAACACTTTGGAAATGTAGAATATGAGAAAAACACTAAACAAATACATCCCCGGTGAAGTTCAGTTCTAACGTAATATTAGGCTTAGCTGTCACAACTCAAACAACGAATTTTCTGATGAAAACACAAGAAGGCACAACCGTGTAATAGTTTTACACACCTGCAGCTTTACTTTCACATGACCCAGTGATACATTGGTAGGTTAGATTTTAAGATTTCGGAAAGTTTAAACAATTTCTGTGACATAGAAAACAAGCTAGTTAATGTAGCTTAATATACTTAAAAAAAATAAGGTATGAAATAAAACTTTCCGTATTGTGATAACGAGCTATTGTGTTTTCTTATTATATATATATCTGACTTATGCTTGGAAAGAAACCTTTAAAAGGAAATGGAAGGGAAGTGAGTTTCCGGAAGTGACATCACTAGAAATGATAAATAATGAAAGCTTTCATGTCGCATATACAAATATTTACCGCTTATGTTAATTAATTTGTTTGCCGTTTGTCTTATTTTACATCGACATTCAAATTATATTATTTACACAACAGTCTACATACAATTTTATCAATCAGTTTACCCATAGCATGATGATGAAAGTTCACAGATTACCACCCGGATGGGAAGTCGTGTACATTGCGGAAATTTATCGAGTCATGAACTATGGCATATTTAATAAAACAACAAGTCCTGACGCATAAGCAGAAATATCATAAATAGTATTTCGTAAACAATATGAAATATTCGTTTTACATTTGTCTAGCTTCAGTAAGTATGAATATATAATACGTTAATGAGTTAAAGACATTTGATCCACACAAAAATGTAAACATACCAGAAAATTCGTAAAAGGTGACGCCAGCGTATATATATATACTCGCCAACGTTTTTACTTTAAAAATAGGACAATCGAAAAGCTGTTCCAGTCCTTCAGTAAAAATTTTGCTTTTTTATTTGTTTTTAGTATGGTTTGTTTGTTTGAAGTTAAGCTCAAAGCTGCTTAATGGGCTATCTGTGCTCTGCCCAACACGAGTATCGAAAGCCGGTTTCTAGCGTTGTAAGTCCACAGACACACCTCTGTGCCACGGGGGGGGTGGGGGTAGTTTGGAAAATATGCATTCATTATTTTGTGTACAGTAAACACGTGATTCAAAACACAGTAATTCTTTTTTATCCAAACATCACATGTTGCTGTACTGTTTAATTCAATAGTCACTATTATCTACAGTAATTTTGAGTTTACCCACAGTTTAATTCGAATTGTTTCCCCAAAATGTTCAGGCAGTTACTAAAAATATATAGTTTTCGAAATAGTATATTTGTTAATTTTCACCAAGAAAAATCAGAAAAAATATTCAAAATATATCATCAGACAATGCAAAAACTTATAACAAATTAATTACTAGTATGTAGCATAGTTGTTTAAGCGAATGTCATTCATCGGTAATAACTACTCGGTGGAAGATTCAGTAGAAAGCAGAAGGGTTAACCATATAAAAAGTGAAACACTGGAGACATAGACGAGTAGAGATTCTACACCGAGCAATCTTTCCAGTAAGTGAAAAATTCTAAAACAATTTATGTTAATTTTAAGCAGAACATAAAAAATAAATCCGTTTTTAAAAGTAAATTTACCTTTTTTGCATATTTTGTAAACACTTGCACAATTTACTATATCCGTTTGAAGATAAAAAAAAAGCATTTTCGACCTAACCATCTGCCCAGAAATATATAGGAACTCAACGAAGAGTTTTCGCATGAAATTAGTTGATTCCTCAAGTGAGAATATTTCCACTTTTCAATTTCAAAGTTGTCTATCTGTATTTTCACCGTTGGTAAACACCAGGATTTGTTTGTTTGTTTTGAATTTCGCGCAAAACTAAACGAGTGCTGTCTCCGCTTGCCGTCCCTAATTTAGCAGTGTAAGACTAGAGAGAAGGCAGCTAGTCATCACCACCCTCCGCCAACTCTTTTTACCAATGGGATTGACCGTCCCATTATAATGCCCCCACGGCTGAAAGAGCGAGCATGTTTGGTGGGACGGGGATTCGAACCCGCGACCCGCAGATTGTGAGTCGAGCTCCCTAACCACCTGGCCATGCTAGGCCGGTAAACACCAGACAAAGGAACTATTATCTATGAGTAAAAACATACAGTGAACCTATCATTGTCTCAACAAAATATATTTTATTTCTCGAAACAACCCACAAATATTTGCGTTATTTTATAACTACGTACTTTGACCACATTTCCAGTAAAAGTAAATCTTTATGTCCCCCTCCAATAGCTTAGTCTGCTCAGCGGCAAGTCGGATGGCTTACACCCCTAAAAACGGGGTGGGAACGGCACAGATAGCCCATTTGCGTAGTTCTGTGCTTAACAACAAACAAAACCATTCTCATGTCCTAGATTAGCTACTGATCCTGTCTAGACATTCCTAAACTAGATAGGAGTCCTTGACAGTATCCAAGCCTATCCAGCAACTTTTAATCGTCAGCTACTTTGACACTACTAACCCTGGCTCTGTCGATTCGAAATTTGTAAAGATTCCTCAGTGCATTTTTTTTTATAAAAAGCAATTAGAAATAATTCCCTTTCTCCAATACTTCAATTTCTTCTTTTTATGTTCATTTGTTTTTAGCGCAAGTCTACACACTAAGCTATTTGCCCTCTGTCCACCACGGGGAATCGAAACTCAGATTTTAGCGTTGTAAGTTCATAAACTTAACGCTGACCAACCGGATGACTATGCTTATGTGTTTGTACATCCTTCTGAGCATTTCAAATAAGGTCTTTGTTTTAATTCTGATAACACCGTTCGTAGTTTTACTGTGTTTGCAATCATTGACATACAATAAAATAATTTTGTTAGAATACAAAACTTGAAACAAGCCGACGTTTTTATTTTTAATCAGAAGATTTGTTTCATGTATTTAACAAATTTTAATCTTGTTTTATATTAATTTATATTTGTGTTTGTGTTTTCCTTTGTCCAACGTAGTTCTACTTAGTTGACCTATTTATATGCTTCTTGATCTAGTGTAATGTCTCCATAAATTTGACAATTGTGACATCTTCTCTGATTATATTTCAATATACAGACAAATTCATAATGTTGGTTACTTAAGAATCTTTACAGGACACCCAAGGCTTTCTTCAATCCAGAACCATTACTTGGCAACTCTCTTGTCTGTTTGTAATTAAACACAAAGCTACACAATGGTCTCTCTGTGCTCTGCCCACCATGGGTATCGAAACCCGGATTCTAGCCTTGTAAGTCTGCAGACATGCCGCTGTGCCACTGAGGACAGCAACTCTCTTGCTATCTCACTGTACAGTTATATTATTTTTACTCATTGCAAGTTTGTTTCGATTCTGACTATGTTTCAGTGGCATGAATATCTTAATGGTTAACGATATCAAGTGTTTGGGTATGATGTTTGACTAGTGTTGGAGTGGAAAAAATCCATACTTCTTTGGTATCTGATTATCTTAAGCAGCAGTTTTCAATCTATGATCTGCGGTAAATCTTCAGGTGGTCTGGGGGAAAGGTTTTGTAGTTATTGAAAGGAAGCGGCAGCGTAATGTATAGATCCCATTATGGTCCACTTAGATTGATAAAACAAGTCAGGCAGTCTAAAAACAAAAACGTTTGAGAACCACTAGTCTTAAGCACTTAAACTTATCAGAGATGTTTCATACATGTCTTGAAGCAGATTATCATGTTCTCTTGTTATTACAGTACTTTTAAATTTATTTGTAACTGAACTTGTTCACCAAGCAAGCTTGATATTTTGAGGGCCAAGTTTCATATCTTTCTGCTGTTACATAACATTTTCATTTATTTAGAACTGGACCATGCTTCTCTATGCTATGTGATTCTATCCCTGAATGTGTTCTGTATAAGCTTGATTTCATTCAGTACTCCACTTTATTCATCTGTTTTAGAACCATGTTTGTGCAGACAGAATTTCATTGGTCAATATGAACATACTGAGAAATTCTTCAGTCTTTTATTAATGGCATTCATTCACTTTCTTGGCCACTCCAGGTAGGATACAGTTATTCAGTGGTAGTTTCTAAGATTTTTATTTGAATTCACTAGGATTTGCTATCCTTTCTACAACTTCTGTCAAAACCACGGATTATTTGAAGTTTTCTTCCTCCTTAAGTATTTTATTTCCATTGTTTCAGTACATGGTACAGTTAAAATGTATGAAAAGACAGATTGTAAGTGTATAGCTAGAGGCAGGAAATAACACCCATGTAGTATTACTTTGTAGTTGCCTTTAGCTGTGCTGAATTGCATCTAAAATTAAAGTAAATGTTAATATCATTGAATATCCATCGACAGAAAATTGAGATTAGTACCTGTGCAGTTGCTGAACTAAGTTGGTTACTTGTGTAGGAACCAGTCAGCTGTCTCACCCTTCCGCGTTTCTTTCCTTCTGGACCCAATCTCTGATTGCATAATAAACACATGGAAGCAAAGAATGTGGCTTAGTTTCATGGTAACTGTGAGCTGTTGTCAAGGCATTTATAACAGAGAAGAGCACAGTTGGATACAGGTCAAGTGAAAGAGCTAATGAAGCCTGGTGACAATGATAAACGTGAGAAAATGTAAAGCCTGTAGAAATGCCATTTGGTTATGGCAATAATTTAGCACTCTTTTCACAAGGGAAATTTTAGAGCAGAGTATTTTTGTAACAGAGCCATTAAAGCTTCAATCTCCACTTTTACCCAAAATTCTGGCCAACCAAGCAATATTTTTATTTATATTTATTTAGTTTTTCTAAGCATTTAATCTTTGGGAATGTTCCTGAGAATCCTGCCATTTCAAAAACACAGGGAACCAGTCTCATCTTCTCCTTGACAGAACTCATGGATAAAGATACATTGCTAGATAATGCATCCAAAATAAGGGAGCTGGCCTAGGATAGAAAAGGAGTGACCCCGAAGTCCACGGAGCTACTATAACCAACTGTTGACCACTAAACTATCAGGAGAGAGTCCAGATCTTGGGCAGCAAAGCAGACATTAAAGTTCAGCCTACCCAATGATCAGCTAATGATTAAATCAGAAATAATCTCAACATCAGTTAAGCCAGGACTGTTAAGAATCCAAAGAAAGGTCATTAAATGTCCCATCAGGGGTTGTACTGTAGAAAAACACTGTCAACATCTAAAGTGGATGCACCTCTGATGGGACCACCATATAACTTGGCCCAAAGCATCCTTTCCAGAGCTGAAGTCTTTGTGGAGATTTTTTATACATCGGGAAGGTTTACTGAAATCTAAAACCTCAGGGGCACCAGCTATTTCCATTCAATCAAACAAAGTATATCTGCATAACACACTTTTCCTCTCTTCTTTACCTTCGGACTTTCATGTATTGGTAAAGGAACAGATGTAACTTGCTTCACAAAAACATTTACATAAGAGTAGATAGAAAGAATATGAAATATAAGAACAAACCCTTTAAAAACGATAAACAAAATACAAAAAAAAAACACCAAAAGTCAACAAAATCTGAAACCCTTTACATAAAAGCAAATTAAAGTATCACAATAATAAAATCCTTCAACAGGTAATCTTCTTTATGGTTGTCTAACTGGCTAATTGCTCTGGTCAATGTCATTTTAGAACTAGTATAGCAACTGAAGCATTATATGTTCTTTTGTTTCAGTCAAGTATATAGATGGCAGTTCCAGTTTCTCCAATCACAGAGTTTGGGTCCTAGACCATTTGACAGGTAGCAGCACAGTAACCAGTGTCGATTGCCACACTTTGATTCACCATGTTTGTTCCCACTTATCGTATCCACATTATGTAATATTTAAATTGTTTTGAAATTTTTGTACATATTAATTATATATTCTTAATTAGCAAACCCGTGAGCCTATGGCCCACATTTACAGAACCGTTATAATGTAAAATTAATTTGTTTATCCAAGCTACGAACGTTAATTAGTAGTCCTGCTATTTTATGTTTTCTAATATAAATCAATGCTAAATTTGTGGTCTGCTTTCAGATAATCCCCATAAAAGTGTTTTCGCAAAATACCAAGGTTCCCTAAGGGATTGAGTGAAAAGTTTTACCTTTGCGAAAGCATTGGAGCAAAGACAATTCGTTTGGCATCACTTAGCAAACTCATGGGTCTATGGCCCACATTTACAGGGCTGCTATATGATACAAATGTAATGCTTGAACTACTACATTTACGTGCTCTAATATAAATCAATGCCAAATTTGAGGTTAATTTTCAGGGAATCCCCGTGCTTTAGGGAAATCCCCGGGACCGAAATGATTCGTTTGGTACCATTTAGAAGTCAGTAAGACCAGCGGTGTAGGAAGTTATTTGACACACAGACACTGAATCTTATCATATATATATATGAAGTTGTTCAAAGCAGCTACTAAGTTTCTCTCGCTTTAGTTACTCAGAAAACTGGGTCATTCAACTGGAGTGTCACATGCACCATCTCCTGGGAAAGATTGCTGTAATTTAGAACATAATGTACAGAAATTGACAGTGTTCTTTTCCACTGGCAAGTCAGGTGATGCCTCAGACATATATCATCTCTTCTTGTAAAGTGGAATCACCATCAGTTGTGCCAGTAGCACCTTCATCATGAGAATGGCATTGTAGTTATTAGTATATAATGTCATGTTTTTCAGTCTGAAGCAAGATTTTAGAAAGAACAGTATGACTCTGAAGATTGATCTACAAATATTTATAACATCTAGAACCCTTCAGTAAAAGGCCTACTCTGCACACTTATCTTTTAATTTTGATTGTCTGTGTTTTGGAAATAACTCTGTTTAACTTGTGTTCAGTCTAGTTACTTGTGTCAAACTCAGTTGATGTTAAAATATTTAAAATTTTTGCTCTGCAATACATTTTCTGATGTGTCACAGCGGTATTTATGCGGACTTACAACACTAGAATCCGGGTTTTGATACCTGTAGTGGGCAGAGCACAAATAGCCCATTGTGTAGCTTTGTGCTTAACTACAAACAAACAAACAATTCCTATCTCATTATTTGATGAAAAATGAGTAAACATGAGAATAGCACAGCATTCTTATAAGTTCTTTTATTTCCTGAACTTGGATTCGAAACCAAAATCTCTCACACACCAGGCAACTACTATACCAACTGCTAGTAAGGCCTTTTTTTAAAGAATTCTACCATCATATTCCTTCCTTCTTACAAACAAGGTCCGTTTTTTTGTCATATTTCAGGGTTGTGAGACGACCATTATTTAGACATAATTTTTTCTTGTGGTAATTTGAATTTTTGGATCTCCTGTGTGCATGATTTTAACCTGGGACCACTCACACAACAACCAGCTACTCTACAAACTAAGCTAAAGGGATAACCTAAGAGCTCTATCTTATAAACCATTTTTAATAATTCAAACTACCATAATATCTCGAGCATATATACTGTATGTATACTGAAAAAGATCATTTGCTCGAAACGTCGCCAAGAAAATAATTTACAACCATAGTTTTTAAAGGTTATTTATCTTCAAAAGTCTACTTAAATAACAAGAGATTTGCATAAGATATTGATTACAAAATAATACCAAATCTTTTATAAACCGAATCAATGTAAAATGAAATAATGAGACTGAGCAAAATGGTATGGACCATTGCTCTGACTGGATACCTTAAGGAGTTAAGTCTTTTCCTCGTCCTAATTAAATCAACTCAAATGATTTTTTAAAGTATACCTACCAAACGTAATGTCCCTTGGCATGCATGAAACCTCAGATTTACCAAAGACGACCACTGCTATCCATGTGGCTAGTCAATCTCGTTACAACATAAGTATGGCGTAACCTTTAGATATCATCTGAACAACTGTTGAAAAACTCTGCTGGCTACATCTTTACACAATGTGTGGTATTGAGCAATATTATTTCTTGACAAAAGAGGTATTATCCACTTCGAGAACAACAAAGGAAAAATACAGCTTAGAATGAAAACAACTTAATGACTTTCTCGATATCGTGTTACGTAATATCTGCAAATATTACAGAACAAAAAATAAATTTGATTCAGAAAATGTACTTTAATATTACAAAAATATAGAAACGCGTGGCATATTCATATACCAAACACACAGGCCATGAACAAGGCTATTGATATAAATTATATCCCAACAATCTAGACTATTCCAATAAAAAAGTTTGTTTGTTTGTAGTTTAAGTACAAAGCTAAACAATAGACTATCTGTGCTCTGCCCACCACAGGTATCGAAACCCGGTTTTCTAGCGTTGTAAGTCCGCAGATATAATATGGGAAAAAATTAAATACGGCATAACAACATACTGTATCTTTATATTATTTCACTACATGACAAGGTCAATTAAGGCAATAGTAGTTTTTTTGTTTTTGTTGTTTTGCACCCCAATGGCACAGCGGAAATAGCAGGGTTAGAGGTTTCGATATTAAGTTATTTCTGTAGGAAGAGTATATTGTTAATAGATTCGGGAGTTACAATAATATTACAACTATACTGATATTGACGGAAAGCTAGGCTTCTTGGGCAGTGACTTATAGGAAACAAATGATATTACATATCTCTGAAACATTTGCAGTTTATGTGATATTTATCACATATGGTAGGCCTATCAGTTTTCAATGCATTTTCAGCTTTCAGCATTAAAACCATAACTAATAACTGGTAGTCAGATATACAAAGGCTTGTATATACTTCCTTTATCCCCCCCCCCATTATAAATATATGCAAAATGTAATTCAACATAATCCAGTTCCTTGTAGGTAACCTCCCCCCCCCAAATACTTTTGATAACCCTCGTCAGATTTTGAATTTCTTTAGTATTGTTACGCCTCTGATCGTTTGTCAATTTTCCGCAGAAATTCTTTCCGAGAAACCTCAGCGATACAAATCCTTTCTTAAATAAAACTAGTTTATTCTTTCTCAATTCAACTTTACAATACACTAAATATCCACAGTCACTTTAACTTAAACACACGCTATAATTCACCACGATTCACGCACTTTACTACCGCGCTTGACTCAATTGTCAGTCTCTGTCTCTCTCCAATTCTAATTCCAATTAATTGCCTGGCGCACTTATATACAAGAATAGAGGGCGCCTAGCAAATACTGGATTATTCCTGATGTTCCCCGATCTTTCTAGAACTCATTACGAGTTACCACGTCACGTGACTTCCGCTGTCGTAACAGTATGATTGTACAAAGTTGGTACATTGATATCTGTCAATAGCCTATTTCACTTCTTTGAAATTTGAAAAAGTGACAACTTCTAACATGAACCATATTGAGAAGGTGTGATCGAATTTTGTCACGTGACCAAAGTTGCCCGTATTACGTATCAATAGCTAATCCCAACAAAATAAATACTTTGCCCGGTACAAGCACCTAATCCAGTCATAACACAAAAAATGTGCCCTTTACTAATATACATACTAATTCAAGTAATTGTAGTTACTTTAAAACACAATATGAACATGTCAAATTATTTTCATAGTTTTAACTTATATGTACTAAATTAGAGAATGTATTTTTTATGGGTCAAAAATCGTATTATTACTTTTTACATTTTAATATTTATTTATTTTTAATGAAGACATAGCCATCTATGATGCGTGCCTGTTATTCATGTGCTAATAGTAATGGCTATCAGTATCAGTACCACACATGCAGTTAGGGGGATGAGAAATAAATGTAGTTGAGTTGTTACATCCTTATAATTTTTATATTGGTCGATGTTTCATTGAAAAGAGGTAACTATGAACCCAGGTGATTTCGTTCAACATAATTTTCATTGCAGGAGTTCATACTGTCCTCGAGGTGGGTCACTTCTTCCCTCTAATTTAACTTTTAGGGCTAATGGCAATTATTTTGTTAATACTAATACTATTACTAATGCTATCGTTGGTTTCACAGCAAACAAGTCTTTTGAAAATTCCTATCACTCGACACCTTTTACGGTACTTGGGACTCGTATGAAAATTAATCCACATTATCTTTCTCCATTTAGCCCTAATAGTAATAATATAAATAATTGCAATAATATAAATCAATGGCACTGGCAGTCACCACCACAGGAAAGATTGGGAAGGAAACCTAAACATTTTTCTCCTTCACCTAGTCCAAATTCAAGCCCTTCCTACTTATGGTACCATCAGACATTTTCTAACAATTCAAGTTCGATGTCAGGTTATTTTCCAACATCCAACAGCAGTCCAGGTGGAAAGAGACAGGTAAACTTTATTTTGAAAGTAATGTACCAATACCATGACATCACTAGAGAAACTCGTTATTAGTAAGTCCAGTTGAGACTGATTGTGAGCTTCAGAATATACTATATAGGCTTATACAATGCCATTGACATTGTCACTGGTAAAATGTTAATATGAAAAAAGGGCTCAGTTGTTTAAAAAACTAAAATATTGCATCTTTTTCTGTTGTTTCTATTATTTCAGCATTTGCTTGCATTCACTCAATGCCATACGAATTAGCAGTTACACCTAAAGAATTGATACATTGTATTCAATTGTAAAACATAAAAGCCTCTGAAAAAAAGTTTAAAATATTTGTTTTGCAGTGAGGCTGTTATATACTATTCTTACTAAGCTTTAAACAACTGTATTGGGTTATTTAAGAATCAAATGATTGAAACTATAGTTAGATTTGTGATAAGGCACTATACTTATCTGAAACAGAAATTTGTTTTCCCTCACCTGTCAACTTAATGCATTTAATACTTAGTTGCACTTGCAAGATCTGGCAAAGTATTGTTATAGGAATCTTACCAATTCTTTATTTTTCTAAAACAATAATGTTATGTAGCCTCTTATCTGTTGATTAAAATTAAGATAGAGAGGGTGTTATCAATATTCCTGAATGTAAGCATTCTGTGGGAAATATATAAAATATGCTGGACGAAGCACCGAGACTAGACAACGTATTCCCCAGTTATAAAGGAGGCTAAAGATCTGAGCCCATTTTTTATATTTTTGGTAGGTCAACAGACAATAGGCAGGTGCCTGAGGATCGGGGAATTGATGTTACTCCTATTATTAAAGGTGGTGATAAGATTTACCCTGTAAATTATAGACCAGTTAGTCTTGTGTAGTAAGAAATATTCTAGAGTGATATAAAAGTTTTGCAAAATCATCATAATTTGCAAAATCATAAATGATGCAAAATCATTTGGTCCTTCAAGGCTCCCTTGCACACCAACCTTTTACTTTCAGGAAATAAATCATTCCCTTCTAAACTCCTGTAAAGTGCTAGCCTCCACTATTGCCAAAAGCAACTTGTTCAACGAGTCAATAACCCTATTAGAAAAATAACAATGTCTTAACTGGAACTTAGATTGTCTTTTCCAAATTTTGGACTTGTTTCCTCTCAACCTGTTAAGCACAATGAATGCAGATGTCTTTGTCATATTGATCCTCCAGATAATTTTGTAAACTTCAATATGAAAATCTCTTGCACTTCTTGTTTTTTTAAATTATTATAAAAGAAAATCATCATGGATTCACATGTGAAGTACAAGGATTCAAAAGGCAATTTAAAGTTTTAGTCAATATCAAAATATTATTTTAAAATACACTGAAAATGTTTTAGGGTTGCAGCAATAAAATAGGGTTGGTCTGACTTTGGAAAAACAACTTTGTGATCAAAGCATGGATGTTCTGGGGACTTCCACACATTAAATGTTTGACATCCAAAGGAAAATTCTGCACAAATAATATGCCAGGACCTCCATTAATACTTTTGATACTTTTTGCCAATTACAGTTATCCAACTTTTTAACATAAATTTTAAAACTACATAAACTGACAAAGATTTATGAGACACCTAGGATCTGACCTATCAAAATGGCATTAGGTCTGACTAGATAATATTTTTAATCAAGATCAATTTATATCTAACAAATATAGTTTCTTTTTCAATAAACATTAAGTTCTTGTATGTGATTTTTTTTAATATGATTAACATTACATTATTAAGTGAACAAGGATTTCAGTCATCAGAATATTTTTCTGTCACGTGCCTTACTCACTTAGCTTACCTGAGGTCTTGCAATAGAAGAAAATAAATTCTCCAGATCTCTGGTTTTCCCAAATTTTTTAAACTTCCCATTAAATTCCACTGTTCTTCCTCACAGAAGATAGGTCTTACCACCTTCTCATAATAATTGTCTCATGCTATTTATCCATTCTAGATTCACACTGATGCAAACAGTTTATAAACAGCTTCATCCAATAGTGTTTGAGCTTTGTCTGTACCTATTTTCAAAGCTGAGCCTCAATGATACCTGTAGTTGTTTAGATCTGATGCTGTGAGACTATTAATAAAATCATGAGAGACAAAAAATGAATTATTATATTTTGAAGGGATAGTTTCTTAACAAATATATAAACCAATGGTTTGGGATGGACAGAAAAATTATAATAAAAAAAATCAATAAGTGTACGGGTAAGACTACAGAATATTTTTTTCATTTTTCTTTGCAAGTTACACTAAATATTACAAAATGTCATGATTTAAAAATTGTTGAAATAGCACTAGAATTATTATTTTTACTTAAACTTTGAAATCTGATATGTAGACGTACACTAATCATAATAGCATTAATGGAGTCCAGTGAAATTGAATCCTTATTACTAGTGGATTGCCTAGGGCCAGTGGGTTTTGTTATTTAAAATAATGATATTGATAGGGGTATAATTGATAAATCATAAACTTTGTAGATGAGATTAAACTTGGATATTTACAGATTGAGGATGTTGATGTACTACAGAATGACCTGTATCAATTTGTGAGTTTGACAAATGACCTTAACTATACTAAGTACAAGATAATGTATTTGGATAACCATAAGGTGGATCACACACTTGTAGATAGGAAACCACTAAAGAACATGGCTGAAGAAAGGGTTCTTGACATAGTGGTGGATAAATCATTGAGGCAGTGCTCTCTTGTTAGTGGCAAAGCTAATAGAATTTTAGGGTATGTATATGTATACATACTAATTACAAGTGAAAAGAAGTAATTATTTCTATATACAAATCACTAAGCAGGCCTTACTTTGGTTTATGTATCTAAGAAAAGAAATTGACTTACTGGAAATGGCTCTGGGAGAGATTTCTAGAATGTTTCCAGGAATGAAAGGGTTATCTTATGGGGATACGTTGAGGTCTTTTATTTTCTCTTGACAAAAGAAAGGTAAGAGGTGATCTTATTGAAATTTACAAGGTATATAGAGTATCAATTTAATAAAAGCCTCTGATTTATTTGTCATATCCTCAATACAAAAGGAAACAAGTTTAAGATTTGGAAAAACACAGGTTAAGGTACAGTAAAGACAGTTTAATTTTTTTAAAAAGCAACTGTGTTTTGGAATCAGTTGCCATTAGCAGTAGTGGAGGCCCGAAAAATAAGGGGGTGGGGTTAAGTTTTTTTTACTCTTCTCAAGGATGGGTGGGCAGGAATAGCTTTAAAGGATTATGCATGAAAAGTAAAATACTCTGCTGGTTTCTAAATGCTAATTATAACTAAATTCGATGATGAGGAACCCACTTTGAGACTAATAATGGTTGGAGACGGCTTGAATGGGTAATGAAAAAAAAACAATAATATAAGTTTAACATAACAGCAAATGTACAACGTTTCAACAAGGTTTTGTCATCATCAAGTACCTTATATACTATGTGTGTGTGTATATATATATCTGTGTCAGTGTAAACTACTTGTACCTGATGATGACAAAACCTTGTTGAAACGTTGTACATTTGGTGTTATGCTGAACTTATATTAAAGTTTTCTTCATTACCCATTTCAAGCCGTCTCCAACCATTATTAATTATAACTTAATTTATATGATATCTACAATTTTTAAAAACTTGGCAAAACAACTAGTTTGCTCCAGAATTAAATTTTTCATACTCTTTTTTTTCTATGAATCACCATTAAAAGCTTTTCCTTACTGTAGCTTTGGCTCTCTATGCTAACACATGGTATCTCCTGATGTAACAATGACTGATTAACTAACTTGTCAGCATCATCTTGTTTCCTGTAGTTGAAGTAATCTCCTTTGTCCTAATATCCTTGCAATGTGAAAGCTTTGCATCTTGTACATTTCAAGAGAAGCCATGACTACTGATGGAATTGTTTTTAAATTCAGGCCTCACAAAGGTCTTATGGTCCATACTGATTGTTTGTGTAGCAAGTGTTATAGAGGAACTAGGAGCAGGGAACTACTGTAAGACTGGGAACTGAACAAAAATTAAATTTCAGTCCTGACACACATTTCCATTTTAGTAATAAATGAAGTAACTATAGATGATGATTATTGTTAAAACAGCAACTTATGTTAATAAAAGTATGCCACAATATTCTTAGTAATATCTTTGGGTATTGTTAGTACTTGAATCAAGAAACACAGATACGAAATAAAATTTAATAATGGGATCACGTGCCCCGTTTGTTTTAGAGCAAATCCACATCTGCTGCGTCCATTGTGAAAAGCCTAACCTAAGATTTTAGCATTGTAAGTCCATACATTTACTGTTTTCCTCCAAAAGGACTAAATATATCTGCAGATTGACATTGGGTATTGAGCATAAGAACTACAGTGTATATCCATTCATGCAAAGTAAAACTAACAAATAGTGTAAAATGCACGAAAGCATAAAATTGAATCTCGACAGAAATATCCAATCATTTGAGATTACTTTTCTTCTGTTAACAGCAGGTAAGAATGAGAAAACAAAGTGAAATATTCACATTAACTGTAGTTTCTATTGCTTGAAACCAGGTTAGTTATCATATTTACTGTTAGAGCCTGAAAAGTAGAATGATTGTCCAAACTTTCCTGTGAGAAAACATATATATCACTTCATTCAAAATGCTATGAAAGTTTCGTAGATTTGTAAGGACCAGCAAATATGCACTGATACAAGAGTGTCTCTACCTCTCCCTACTAGTGTAATTTTAAGATGGTTAAAATAAGTGTACATAAATAACACACCAAACTGAACTTATTAGATACTTTATAATGAATATAAATTTTATTTTACATTTTTTGAATTACCTAAAAAAATTTTTTTGTCAAAAAACATTATTTTTTGTTAATATAATAGTTTATCACAACTTTAATAAAAGTTGAGGCTTTGTTTCCAAAGATTTTGTATAACTGGTTTTATTTGTCCTACTATGATGTAAATATATTTTGTGCCATTTATTAGATACTTTCAGTAAACAAAACTATAAAAAAACTAAGGTAGTAGTATTCCACTTTACCTTGTAAGTAACAACTTTGGAGTAAGCAAACTAATTCAATTCCAGTTTCAAGCTATTAATGAAAAGCTGTAATACAAAGATGATGTTCAAAAGTAACTATGTTGATGAATGCTAATTATTCTAAATATCCCATCTGATCACATACTGTTTTAAAACTGAGTAAGGTAACCTTATCCTTGAAATGAAATTATTCCTGAATTAATTATTTTCTATAACTGCATGGCTAACTCCAAATGTCATTTCGAGACTAAAGAAAAACTTTTAGTTAAGAAACTGAAACTGAACACTAGTTGGCTAGCTCATTCAAGTTGTTACTTCAGTTACAATAAAGCTGGGCATATATCTAAATACAAGTATATTGTATTTCTGAATTCTCATGTAAAAAAATAAAAATACTTTTCCAAACTATAATAATTTATTTGTGTTTAGGTAACATCATACATTTTCTTTCTGGTGTAGGAATCATGGTAATTATTATATCATAGGTTTGTGAACTTTGAGAAAAAAAATGTTTAGAAGTGCTATACATGTATATTTAATTAGTTCCTGCATAAATGTAGAATTTAACTCCTTTAAATTTGTGTCTAATCTATAACATACAAGGAAATATTTAATACCACTGAAAATAATTTAAAAAACTAAATTTTTATTAATACAAAAACTAAGTTTAATGACTTATTTAGGCATTGTCAAATGTTTAACATACCTTTTTAGGTTTCTTTTGGTAATCATGTTCTTTGAGTATTAGATTTTAGGATTTTGTTTGTTCAAAACTTCACTCATATTTTGTGCTTATGGACCAAAGATTTTAATATAAATTGCATTCTTTTTATACTAGATTTAACTCTCTTAAACCCATAATTTTTTTGCGAGTTCTGCCAGAATTATCACCATACCTTATAAAATTTCTAATCTCTTCATAAAAGGTGAATAATAATGTGGTTTGGATTAGTTTTCAGTCAAAGAAACATAAATGTTATCTGGGTAAATCAGGATTTTGGGGAAGAAGCTGGCAGTGTCCGCTCAGTTTTAAGGATTTAAGCCAGGTCTTAGTTTACTGCAAAATATAAAACAATCTTCTGCAATCTTTTTCTATATTTTTAAATGTAAGATCTGTGGGTGAATATGATCAGCAAAGTTATTATAAGTAGATTTGCTAGTTCTCCCCATAAAAACATGACAATGAGATGGGTAAAATGCATGTTGTAATGAAAGACATGCTAAAAGTTTGTTATTGCACTCATGATGTGCTTTATTTAAAACAAAACACTAGCTAGATTCCAGGTATGTTGGGCGTTCATTGTTATTTTAATTTAGAGATAACAAACAAGGCTGGAATTTCATATTATTTTGCAATGCAATGTTTCTGCATTTTATCAATTTATCATACTTGAACTCACAAAATACAACTTTTTTTAATTCAAATTGCTGATAACTATTTTGCCTAAGAATACATATTAATCACACCGAGTCATGTATAAAGCATTGTTTGAATCATACATACAAAATATATAAAACCTCATTTAACTTTCTCTTCTTTTTTTATACACTTTCACCCACATAATTTACTTATTATGTACATTATGCAACTATATAGGCTTAAGGTGGTTAAGGAATGTTCTGTGAAAAGCAAGATAAAAAGGGGTAATTATATTAATATCTCCTTTTCTGCATCACTTCTGTGAAGAAAAATGCTAAATACCATTATTTCAGCTCTTACACTGACTAGGTAAAGCCATTTTATATTTTTAAGTATTAAGTACTTAAGTATCTCTTAAACCACATTTACTCACATGTATATAAAGATATTCTAGAAGATAGCAGATACTCAAAATATTTGATAAACTGTGTATACTTAGGCTAGTAATAAATATTTATAGGCTAACCAACATGATGCATCTTGTAAATTGCTTTAAAAATATCTACAGTAGCTCTATTCTATATATTTTCTTATAAATACCTTTGTGTTACATGTAAAAAAGCCATAGCTACCTTCAGAAGGTTGAAATGAAGTATTTGCTTTCCAGATTTTATTTTCTAATATTATAAAAGGCATCAGGTAGATATTTACAGATACTTGATAGTAAATAGCTATTGAAAACTGATCACTGGTAGGAAATGAACCCGTATCTTTTTAAAGAACATGAAGCCATAACAAATAGTTTAAATATTATGAACTATGAAATCCTAGGAAGTTCACCAGATGTGAGAAATTGTATCTTGAGACTAAATATATTAATGGCAGCAGCTTGTGTACAGTGTTGCATTGAAAATATGATGTAGTTTTAGTTGTATGATAAGAGTACACAAAAAGAGCTATTGGTAATAATTATGAACCATGTCAATACAGATTTGAAGAAGAGTGATTGTGATTGATTTTGCTTATTCTTACAACAACAAAAAATTGTACATAGTCACTACATCTTAATCGTATGATGACCAGCAGACATTTGGTGCTTGACATTCAGTATTTGTGCAAGGACTTAAAGCTTTAGTTAGATCTTATTTTATTATATACCGGTCCTTCATAATTCACAGAAGGTTGTTCTTACCAAATGTTGACCTAACATAAACACTTCTACACTACTTCTTCTTGCCTATTGAGTGTATTTGTATTAATTTTGTTTTTTTCCTTCTTTGCTGGTGATTCCCACAGAGCCGTGGTTCTCATTCTTACCGTGGGAGATCATCCATGGGATCTGCCAACATTTCGGGGAGTAGTTGTAACATCAGCAATTACGTGAACTCTTCCATGCTCCAGAATCCTTGGCAAGAACTTGAACAGATGCAAAAATCTTTTTCATATTCCTGAATCTGAAAGTCAAATCAGAAGCTTATGATAGAATTTCTAACTTGTGAGTTGTCTGTCTGACATGGAAAATAAAATGTCACACTAAAAAAAAGCTGTGTATTCAATCATAAGTTTCATTATTAATTCTTTAGCAGGAAAGATATTGCATACAAACGAACAGAAAATTTAATTGTAACTGGGAGACAAACACATGAAGATAATATATATCAGGTGTATGTCTACATAATTTACATTTTTTCTGAACAGAATCTGATTGAAACTTTCATAGGTTTATTGCTTTTAAATTAAAATATGTTTAAAATTGGGAGTAGTTTCAACCACTTTCACATAATTTTCATAACTTTAGAGATTGATTTCTTTACAAGTAATTATATTGTAATGTGTTTCTTATGAAATGAATTTCCATGTTACTAGTAAATGACTTGATCCAAATGTTATTACCTACCATATGTGTATACTTACTGTAGGATGAAAATTATTTTACTTTTATTCAATAATGTTCTTTACTAAACTGATTATCCAATTTCTTTTAGATAAAACAGTCTGTAATTTCATAAAGCTGCTACATTTCTTATGTAAGTAGACCAGCAGGTTGCATAATTATGAAAAGTGTATAGATCCCATTATGGTCTGCCAATAACAGGTTTAAGATCCACTGAAATAGACAGTAAAAGTTTCTTGTATATAAAACATTAATTCTAATTTATCATGCTACAAATAATACTCATTAAGCACACATTAATTTTATAAGTAAGTATTATTTTAGTACAAATAATTGTTAATAAGATATCTACAAATATTTTTGAAACTTATTTTACTACTGTTTCTTTGACCAAAGTATCTCTGGAATGAAATGTCTGTGAAGTCATGAATAAGTCTAGAATTGCTTTAACAAATGTTTTATCATCCCTTATCTAAGATTAAAGAACCACTGATGTGACATTTTTTAAATATTTTATTATGGTTAGAAAATTAAAACTAGTCAAAACAAAACACTCCCACCTGATAAATATCATCCATACTCCTTTTTGGTATCTTCATCAGTCCTTATTTTCTAAAAGAAAATATGCTTTTAATTTATATATTTAAATTACATTTTATAGCTTTATTAATTTTGTCAAATTCCTTCAATACATGTAACAATTTTATTTTAATCAAACTTCATATGATTACCTACATTTTATACATAACATAGAATGAAAGGTAACACAATATTCATTCATCTTCTGCCTATAGTTCAGGCACAAATAGTATTCAAACAGAATGTTGTATTTGTTTAGTACAATACCATTAACAACCTTGAAGGTATTTTAGAATTAGAATTTTTATTTATTCAATTACTGTCATAAGAAACTTAGCATATGCTGTGGTAAGGTTTGTTAGTTTGTGTGTGTATTACTTTGATGAACATATCTTGTGACTTTATTATATTTCAGGGTAATATCCTCTTTAACATCATTGTACAATTATTTTATATAAGAACAAATTAGTTCAAATAGTGATATAACAAAATTTATTTATCCTTTGACTTTTTTTAAGTAAACTATATAATTGGCACATAAAACAAAGTATGATCTTAACGGTTCAAATTCAGTAAAAACATAATTTTGTCCATCATCAATGTACTTTTCCATTTATCCTTACTTCTAAATAAGGAAATATCAAAAAAATTGTACTGAGTTGCTGTATAAAATAACATACAGATACAAATTTAATAATGATAAACTTTCTAACATTAAAACAATTGACTATAAACATATATTTACCAGAATAAAAAAAGGGTACAAGTGTGATAACCAGTACTAATACAATTACTATTTCTAAAACATTGAGACATTATCTTAAAATGTGAAACATATCACTGTTTAGTGTACCATGATGAATTAACCAAATAAGTTAATACACATAAGGAAAAATTATAAAAAACATACTGTTACAGCTTTCATTACATATGATGGTTTAACGATGGCCTTCTATTTATATTTTTATTCTTTTTAAACATACATCAAATACAATAAAGTAGAATGATCCAAATTTACATTATATAGAAGTTTCTGACTAAAAAATAAATAAAGAGAGAGAGAAACTGCAAGCCAGCAGATTATTTTCTATGTCTTCTACACACTAATACATCTTAAACAAAATTTTCCTAGGATTCTAACAAACTTCAAAACGTAAAAGTAACTTTAGAATCTTGAATTTCAGTGGATTTTTATAGATAAAATTTGCATTACTGTGATATTCAAATACATTGATGTTTCCATAAAAATGTAAAAATCAGAATATATTATGTAGAGAATAAAACGAACACAAGTGAAGAAATAAAACAAATCTTTATTAACAAGAATGGTTGTGTATTTACCCAATTGCTCAGCCCCTTATATTCTATTGACTCCACTGGTTGCTGGGGATTGAAAAGGATCTCCTAACATGCCCCCCCCCCCCAAGATAAGGACAAAAATAATTGTAATATACCACATTACCAAATCAGGCAAGCTACATACATTACCAAATAAACATATATAAAGAGAGAAAAACCAATCTCATACCAATTTGTCCAAGTATTTGTGTCACCCCTTGAGATGGGCACGAATATACATTATTTATATATAGAGTTGATAACAGTTTCTCATTATTAATTCAGTACATTAATTTTGTTTGACATAGGTTTTATTATGTCTAATTTACATGTAAGCAATATTAATTTACATAATTCGTTTTGAAAAACTGATTTTTGCAGCTGTTATTATTTTAATAAAACTTTCTTTCACTCTACTTAATCAATATGGCCCCATCAATCGTAAAATATTACTCTATTTGTAAAAGAGTCACAAAAGTAGTATTCTAAAGTAAAGGAATAATGATGAAAGCTAAGATTCTATTCAAACACCAAGTTTTCGATAAAAAAGTGGGGAAGCCAGATTAGTCTGCTGTGTGATCATTAGCTACTTAAGTGATGTCTACTACCATCACTATCATATCTGGTTCCTATAGTTTTTGTTTTTTTAATTAGCATTTTTTTTATCATTATGCTTGTTGCATAACGGACGCCACTAAGTACTACCCCCCCCCCCCCACCACACACCAAAAAATAAATAAAAAATTCCACGAATAATTTCTGTAGTATTTACAATCCTCC